ATTAAAGGATGACTCATGCATGGACCTAAGACATGGTCATGGTGAAAAAAAAAGTATGTACAAAGTGTGTGCAAAGACTCGTGAGTGAAAGTGATAATTACAAGACTCGTGTCATGACCATGTGACTAGACATGCGGTTTGACTCAAACAAGACAGAGGTAAAGACCACATATGTACATTAAATTGATTAATCGTGATAGTGAGACTCGAAGCGAAGACTCGGGAAGAAAAACCGAACCATCGCATGGCGATGGAACTATCGCAGGACGATGATCCCATTGCGGTGCGATAAGTCTATCGCGATGCGATGGTCACCATCGTTCTGCGCCACAAGCCGAAGTAGTGCGCCGAGACTAGAGCATCACTGTAACTTGTTTTCAATCGTTCTTTCAAGGGTTTAAGCCTAAAGTCTTCTAAGTCAAGCATATTTAGACTTTAAGATCAAATTAATTAACCAATTTAATTAAGCAAAGTCCTTTGGGTTAGTATATACAAGTCAAGTCATATGTACAAGAACCAAGTTAAGACAAAGGGTTAGGTAGTATAGGCATATGTACAAGAAACAAATCAAACCAAAGGTTAGTTTAATCACAAACAAGTTATGCACAGGTGAGATATGCACAAGTAGTCAAGTAGTCACACTATGATGCAATGAGTTTGCAACCTAACCATGGCTCTAGTTCTCTAAGGTCAACAATTTTAGTGTCCAAGAGGGTTCATGGTTATGAGTCCGGATGCATCGCGTGGAAACCTTACCTTAGAAGGGTTGGCACAATGGATGGGACCCTACAAGTTAAACTCGCTTCCATGGTTTGGTGAATTCAACAAACTCGGATGCACCCATTGTTGCACGTAGTGTTCATTAGGGTGGATGGAGCGTGAATTCCCAAGGGCTAAAACCATATGTAGAACACATATGGGTTTAGAAAAGTCGAAAAAACTCAATCAAGAAGTAGAATCGTTGAAAAAGTACTAGAATCGGGCAAAACAAGAAGATAGAACTCTGGCGTAGAATCGCTAGATCCATCGCTGGAAGACAGGAACTGTCGCGCAGCGATAGCTCCATCGCGGCGCGATGAAGCTATCTTCTTGCGATGCTTCCTGGCGTCTTGCGCCGGTTCTGACATTCTGAGGCAGTTTCTATGTTCGAAATTTTTCCGATTTTTTGTAGTGTTTTTTCGGTTCTAGTTGTGAAAGATATTTCCGAATTTTCCTACGTGTATAAAATCTTATGTTTTTGATGCATTAAGGATGATCTTTCCAATGCGAACCTTTTTATGCTTATGCCACAATGTTAATCAAAATTACGCACAATGAGTATCTAGAATTTTCAAGTCTCATCCAATCATTCTAAATCAATTGCCAAAATAAATTTTAGGAATCAATCTAGAAATCCTCCCTAGTGGAGTCGCCAAAAACTGTAGGGAATTTTTCAAACTCAACCTTTTGATGAGCCCCATTGTGTTCATGCTTTTAGGCATGGCGGCGTTCCAAGGGAAGGAAGCTAGAGATAGAAGAGTCGCCAACAAGTTTTAGGAACTTGTAAACCGTTCACGGGTGCGAATGAAGGTTACACCCCATTCACGATCACGGAGATCGTAACTCCATAGTGGTCCGGAACCATGACTAGATATTTGGGGATGATGGTACAAATCCAACCTAAAAGAGATTGAACCCGCCCTAAATTGGCCTCTAATTAATTCTTATGATATTCATGTGCGCTTTTTAATCAACATACATAGATCAAGTTAGCCTTAAACCTGTTTAATCTATATTGGTTGATTATTAATGCACAATCAAATCTATTATTGGTGATCACTTGAATTAAAATCATATTAAACCTAAATTCAATTATTAGTTATCTTATTAGGCGTGATTTCAAGTACAAATTCCCTTTAAACCTGCAAAATGGGCGTGATCAAGCAATAACAATCAATCATGAATAATCAAGCAACATATAATTGACACAACAATCATCTTCATAATATCATCATCAAAACATCGTTAGTAAGATCCTAGGCAAGATACTAAACGGATTAATAACAAATCCTATCATGTCACTAATAAAAATCATAACAAAATCATTATCCTAAACATGATACTAAACATAAAAACATCTTAACATGATACTAGGAATCATAAAAACATCTTAACATGACACTAGGAATCATAAAAACATCCTAACATGATACTAGGAAACATGATTTCTACTCAAAAATCAAGGATTAAGTAATTGAATTACTTGCGTTGATGTTCCTCCCTTCTTGCTAAACACGTTAGTAACTTCAAGAAAGATAAAATCAACAAAGTATATAAATCAAATAATAATTGAAATATAGATTTGGGACCAAACCCTCAGAACTATCAACCTTTCACGTCGAGGTCGAAGGCAACGTCGAGGAGCGTAAGGAGTATTCGAATCTCGTGAATGAGGAATGGTGTCTGATTGGGGAACGTATCAAGGATGTATTTAGGCTAGGCTAAGAATATGAAGAATCAAGAGCGAGAGAGAGTATTAGAAAGGGTATTGATGATGATTGTTGGTGTTTGAAACGGGGTGATACGACCTCTATTTATAGGGAAAAAAGAGAGTCGAAGCATCGGAAAAGATCAGAATCCGAATCGGAATAAAACAGGTTCATCGCGGCGCGGTGGTCCTACAGTTTTGCAGATTTTGTATTTATCATAATTTTTTATCCAGAAATTGGAATAAGATAAATAATATATTGTTTGAAATTTATAGAAGTCTACTTTCCAAGCCAATTAGAACTAAATTAATATCATTTGTAGAATAAAAGATATGGCCGAAATAGTGGAACAGTGTCAGTTTTGGATAGAGTTTGGTATTTCGTTCATATCTTTTGTGTTATAGCTCGAAATTGGGATCATGATATATCATTGGAGAGATAATTTCAAGGGCTATCCAATAATCTGATATTGATAAAAATTATGAGGAATAAAAATCATATTAGAACGTCTTTAAATTCTAATAGAACAAGGATTATCAAAAAGAGGAGTTTTATTCAATTTCGAACTCCTTAATCTTTATCTAAAATGGATAAATTAGAACCTTCTATAGGATTCTAGAAGCTACTAACAAACCTTAATTGGTTTAGGATTGATATTAAGGTATTTGGACTCTCCACATGATCATTGGGTCATAAAAAAGGTGGACCTAAGTCCGGTTTGGGCTCGGTTTAGTATTTTAGCCAAAATTTATTCGTTTTAAGTCAGATTTGGGGTTATAATATATCGTTGGAAAGCTCTTTTCAACCTTCATCTAACCAAGAAATAATTGGACAGGAATATGGACCAAAATAATCTGGTTTGGACGTTTTTATGAGTTGGACACGAAATGAATAATTTTGAGGATACGAAATGAATGATTTTGGGTTTAAAGACACGAAATGAATGATTTTAGATTAAAACATTTTAGAAAAGGTTAGGGGTATGGTCAAGGCCTAAGGGAACTTCACGAGACTCTTCAACTCTTCACCGAACTCGTTAATCAAAGACGTGAAAGGTACTCATCACCGGGTTTGGTTTTTGGGGAGACACAATCAGGTGTCTACAGTAGTATAAATAATGATTTTCTTACTTGTGATTATATGAATGAACAATTGTTATCTTTCCATTGCAATATACAATATATATATATATATATATATATATATATATATATATATATATACACACACACATATATATATATATAAACTTTTGTAACATTCTTATTATTGTAGCTTCAATGAGGAGAAAAAAGTTATAAATGTTCAAGAAGTGTAATATCTTTTGGAAAATGAGTTTAGAAATGTACTAGTGCAAAGATGAACACGAGACCTTGTACATTTAGTAGCTTAAATGAAAAGTTATAGAGAAACATAACTATTTGATTGTTTAGTTACTGTCATCAAACTCATCATGAGTAAAAAGTTTTGGAACATTCTAAATCATCCATTGTTTGAGATTTTAAATACTTGTTAATCATTCTGAATACTGCTTTGTACATGTGTTTTCATGTTATATGCATTTTGTGTACGTGACAAAGCAAGTTGTAAGTCCAATGTAACCAAATGTTAAAAGCAATTAAATTGCAATCCAATACAAACTATGGCAGTTTATTGAATGTTTACAATTTTATATTATTGTTAGTTGATAAGTTCATATGTTACGTACCTTACTGTATCATTTGAATGATATTTTAGAGTATAATATATATATTTTTAAGGTAACGATTTTAATGTCTTATTATGAGATAATATGTGACTATTGGTCCTTGATGAAATGTCATTCTGATCTTGCAGATGCTTCGACCCGATAATCTAGTATGGTCAAAGTCATATCACGATATGTCCCTTGTTTGGGGAGGCTGGACCCAGAGGTGCATAGATATGTATTGGAATTTAGAATTGTAAATTATCTCACTATAAAACCTAAGTCATTGGCCTTACTTCAACTATGCCCTGAATTTTCAGCTAGTGATCTTTTGCAATGATTGTGGTGAAATTTCACCACTAATAAATTATCATATCACCAATGTTCAAGCTGCAAGTCCTACAATACAAGGGCACAAGGCAAACACACGTTGTCTCTGCTTTCATGCTCCTCGAGTGGATCTTACGCAACTTCAATTCTAAATAAATTTATCATTTTGGATCTTCAAAAGTATAGGACTTGGGATCATGGATGGCTTAGCAAGGCAATGGTCCTTCGGTTCTTCCCATACCATAATTGAGCAAGTGCCGGATTCAAAAATCATTTTTGACAAGGTAATGTGAAACTATTTTCTTAAATGGCTATATTACTAGGTTTAATACTTGCTATCGTAGCCTCCATTTACAGGGAAAATCTTATTAAACACATTGGAGATGCTATTTGAATTGACAAGGTAATGTGGAACTATCATCCTAGTTGCATACTTTCATGTGTAACGAATTTTGAAGAGGATAAAAATAAAGTACAATAACAAATAAATGTGATTACAAATTTACTATGTTGTATAATCAATCAATGAACATTTTAAATCTAATTTTTTGTCACAAATAATGTGACATTAATTTGAATCAGTACTCAGACTGTTTGAAAATGTGTGAATGAAAGGTTACTAAAGATATGTACTCTTTTTATCAAAAAAAAAAAAAAAAAAGATATGTACTCTTATTGTAAATTTAAAAACGTCTAGTAAATTATGTGATAAAGATATGAGATATCTGTAATCATTGTGCTATAATCTTGACGATTCTTGATCATGTGGGTATAATTGTGCTTTGATCTTGACGATTCTTGATCATGTGGGTATAGTTGTGCTTTAATCATGACGATTCTTGATCATGTGGGCATATAGGTTCACCTTCCTTCCATGAATGCGCTGCAAGGGTCTCGCGTTTTTCTCTGCATGCTGTTATGAAACAGAAGCAACATACTGATCATTTTTGTCGAAACAAACAGGGACTAGGTAATATTATTCAAATTGCAATCCGCAGTAGAAATGTACTCGTATCGATGATTGTCGAATCAATAAAATCTTGTATAAGGAAGTTGCAACTTACATCATGAACAGCCTCCCGCAGCATATCTACTTGATTTTTCGAAACAGTTCCAATCTGTGGAAAATACAGCAGCAAAATTTCAGCAGTAAGTTATACCTGATCATAGAAATTCTCACATATATCTCTGTCTGAGAAAAATGGTCACACAATGCTGTCATATAGAAACTATGGTCACATTGATCCTTTTCATGTTAAGTTCTAGCTTACACCTATGGCCCTGCACGAGCTGCTCAAGTAGCAGCTCGCGGCTTTCCATGCTATAATTTTTCTGTCCTTGAATAATAGGCCACATTTCTTTATTCACACTCTAATATACTTCAGTTATGAATATGTAATAGAAAGCGAAAAAGTTATGAGGTGTACCTGAGTGTTGACAGACCAAATGACACCTTCCGTACAAGGAGGGGTGGTGAGTGAGCCTGTGTACCTGTAAAACCTCTTCCCTCTCATCTTGATCTTCGCCGGGTTTACAATGCCAACATCTATCTCCAATGTTGTATCAGATATTAACTTAATTTGCTTTTCTAGCTGCAGTAAAAAAAGAATTTACTTTGATCAAGTCAAAGGAGTGAAATTGCTTTAATGAATTATTTTATTTTTCTTTAATTGGCTTTGATAATAATTTGTTTGCATGATGAATAATTACCTTTTTGAGGAATTTATTAGGCTTGCCAATCTTGTAAAGACGTCCTATTACAGCAATCTTGCCGTCTTTGCTTTGATGAACAATGTGCACCTCCATATCATACCTAATTTTGGTCATAAACAAATTATGTATATTGAATTTTAATACATAAACTTTAACAAACTTTATGCTCAAGACCATAATTTCATTTTTGTAGGGAACAATTAGGTCTTGATCTAGTGACAAAATTAGTAATTCAAGTTTGAATCTTTTCTACCTTTTTTTTTAATTTGTAATTACTTATTTAGGGAGAATTAAAAAAAAAAAATTATTAATTTACTTGTTTAGGGTTAAGGACTAGTGTAGGATATTGCAAAATGGGGAATTCATCATAAACAAATGCCTCAGCTAGGTTCCTCCTTTTGGATACCTGTATTGACTTTCCATTACTCCGTAACATTTAATTCTTAATGCTCAAGTGCTCAACCAATATAATCAAAGAATTTGAAAATGGATTGAGCCAAAACACGGTATTGCTAGCTGTATATTAATGATGGCACATACCTCTTTCCATTGATAGTATGCTCTGATGGTGAAAGCCAGTGGGATTGCTGTAAAATATAATCTGTTCCATTGATTTGAATTTTGCTGCTTTCATCTTTCCACTCGACCTAACATTAAAAAAGAAATTAATTTTCAATGTTTTATATTTGAATTTATGACGATATTGCAAATACGACTTTGACACATGACTTTTTGAGATATACAAAGTAATAAACACAAATTTTCAGATGTGACTGGCCACACCACGTAACTGAGGTTATTTATTCAGGAGTTACTTATTAAGGAGTTACTCGGTCAGGGATTACTCGGTTGGACAGGGTTACTTGGTCGGGGGTTACTCGGTCATAGATTACTCGGACAATGATTACTTAATCGGTCAGGGGTTACTCGTTAACTGTTTTGGTGTGTGTCAGTTAGCCACACAGAAAACGCACTTACTAATCGAGTGACTCTAGAATAAGTAACTCTTGACCGACCGAGTAACCCTGCCACATAGAATATGACTGTACAATAAAAACATGTATTTTTTAATATTAGTATGTAGGCAAAATAAAAGGCTCAATCGGACCAGAGTTACTTTGGGGGCAGAGATAAGGGTATTCCCTCCCCTAATGCCCCCTTATTTAGTTTACCTTGGTAGAAAGAGAAAATTCACGTGGCAAAGTGTAGCTATGTTTGTAGCATCCATGTCTACTATGTGACAGCAATGATTTCTGCCACTATCACCATTTCACAAAGTATTCAAGAAGAGAGACGCATGAATGAAGAAGTTGACATCCATCTTCGATGGTGAAATCAGAGGGAAAGAGAAACCTCACAAACAAACACAACACTTACTCTATAGGGTTAAGAATTCCCCTAATTTATACATTTTTCCTTGGGATTAAATCAGAGGGAAAGAGAAACGTCACTTTCATTAATAAGGAAACCAACGTACTGATAGCATCGTCAATCACCATCCAATTAAAATAAATAAGATGATAAATGTCAATCACGGAAGTAAATCATAGTAACATGTGCAAGGGCGGAATCAGGGGGCTGGGATAGGCCATGACCTTCCCTTGGCTTAATTTGTCAACAATTTTTGTAAATTGTTGTTTTTAATAGCTCAGTTGGCTTTTTGGTATTTTTAAAGAGAAGCTTGTTATTACTTTCAAATCCTTTTTTTTTTTTTTTTTTTTTTTTTTTTTTTGGCCTTGTATTGCCAATTTCACTACTCACATTAAACTCAAATCATTCAATTCCATATGTATTAATCACCATAAGAATTTAGTTAATGGGCTTTAGGCTTTATAGATAACTTTTAGTTTTTCTCATTTTTCTTGATATAAATGTGCAGACTACACTAACAACTCAAACAACCAAACAATTAAGTTTTACACACTTGTTTTACTTAGTTTTGGTTTTTTAAGTATTAGCTTTGAAAAATATTTGTGCAATGGCCCATAAAATTTGGCCTTGTGTAAAAGGAAAAAAATAACCGTTGCCTCCCTAATACAAATTTTCTAGTTTCGCCAACGTAACCAAGTTAAGTACATCTTGATCACCAATCCAATCAATCTATAAAAGGAATTATTAAGTCTCATTTATTAACGGTATAACTGAAAGAATTGATCTCTTTTTATCTGGATTATCTATTTCACATTTAAGTTATTATGTTGATTATTATCGTTAAATTTATAAAGGCTTTTTTTTTTTTTTTTTTTTTTGTGAAACGTAATTTTATAAAGCCTAATCCCTACCTCCTAAGTTATACTCATATCATCTTCTTTAACGCCACATCATCTCACTCCATTAAAATTAGTATACATGCATGCACAATAAATGTCAAAGCTTAAATGAAATTTATTGTCACAATAAATAGAATACAGTTAGATTAAAAAGAGGATAAGATAATTTTTTGATGAAACAATTCCGTTCACTTCAACTTATTTTTGCTAAATTGAAATTAGTTTTACTAAAATGAAATTATTTTTGCTGAACTTAAATTATTTTTACTGAACTGAAATTAATTTTACTAAATTGAAATTATTTTTGCTAAACTGAAATTAATTTTACTAATTTTCTATTATATTTCTTATCTAAATTTACTGATTTTTACTGAATCGAAATTATTTTTACTGAACTGAACTTATTTTTACTGAAGTGAAATTAATTTTACTGAATTGAAATTATTTTTACTAAATATTATTTTTTTTAAGGTGAAATGATCAGGGTCATATTTGACAATATACTTCACACAATGAAAACATTAAGCACTATAAATGTCATATCTAAGATAAAAAAAAAATATCGAATGGAATAGAAATTTCATGATGCCAGCAAGGAAATATTGAGAACCATTATTAAAGAGAATAAAATATTCCATTGGTTTAAAATTTGACTATCTAAGGGAAAATGATTTTTTTGTAATAATTGAAGTCAAGATATGATGAAAAGAATGGAAAGGGAGAAGAACGACGGGAGGAGTGTAATTGTGCTGTAAATAGGGTAATAGAATTAAATATTTGGATAAACAAGTTACTTTTAAAATTAGTACTCTCTTGTCCCTTTTTTTTTTTTTTTTATGTTGGACTTTACACGGTTTTTAAGTCATGTTTTGCAATATATATAACTTCATTTTTATACGCTAAAACGTAATATTCATAAAATATACAATGATACGAATCTAACAATAGCCCACATAACTATATTATCTTTTATTGATGTTCGCCAAAAAAATATTATTTTTTATTGATTAATGGGAATCTATGTCAAAAAAATTGAAGTTTAACCCAATTATTTGTAATGGGACAAAAAAATAGGAACAAAAGGAGTATTATTTTAATTTACTTTATTTTTAAAGATTCGTGCTAATGAATAGGCATAAACTAGTGACAATTTTGTATTGAATTGTCATTTTTATTTTAACAATAATTCCCGCAAAACTGTGAACATAATAATAATAGTGCTTTTTTGGTGTAGTCAGCCGCGTCGTACGTCAAGGTAACACACATCAAAAACACTAATTGGATAAATCTTAACTAACCAAGTAATCCCTAACCGAGTAACCTATGACGAATCTAGTAACCCCGGTCACACTGTGTGATCAGCTACATACAATAATTTGTGTGAAAATAATATATAAAAGATAAATACCTCAATATCATGACCTCTGTTTTTGAGTATTGCTTTACCGGGTTTATAGAACCTTGTTATTTCTTCTGATTTGGGTGTTAATTTCACTCTCCTGTGCAATAGATCAATGGGTGATTGCATTTCTCCTGTCTTACATTTCGCCCATGCTGGCCTTAGTTCCCCCCAGTGTTCCGGCCCCCTTTTGCTCCCTTTCACGTAATCGAAATCTCTTTCGTCATCTAACATCCATCGTAAAATAATTTACAATGATTATAACTTTGTTAACATATAAACCTAACACATAACATAACATATCAATGTATAATTACTTGTAAACTTTAGTTACTAATGTAAAAAAGCGACTATGTGCATAATCTTAAAAGATGTTAAAATAGAAATTCGAGGGATTAGAAGCTGATGAATGGTTACAAGCGACTAGTACGATGAGCAAAATTAGAGAGCGAAATCATGTAGTAAATCTTACCAACTTCTTGAGCTAAAATGGGTATTGAGAATGAGCAAAGAATAACAAGAAAAAAGAGAGAAAACCATAGCATTGGTGTTTTGCTTCTTTCCATCTTAATAAACATTTTCAATGTAATTAATTTATTAATTAGAAGGCATTCGTTTCTATATATATAGTCATCCTTCCGTGTGAAGTAGTCAAGATTTTGGACCAACAGTAAACATTAATTGATTAAATATATGAAATAAAGTCTATGATATTAAAATTCCATTTACACCAATATGTTGTGTATTAGTTATATTTAAAAAGCTAATTAGGGAAATCTAGTAGGTTACCAGAAAGGGCTGAAATAATGGATGATGTTTGGAAATTGGACAGTATGCGCAGCCGCTTTGAACTTGGCTAATACTTCCTCCGTTTTTTTTAGTTGACACGTTTCTTTAGTCACGTTTGCCAATGCACATATTCAATCGTTAATATCTTTAATAATTAAAAAGCAAAAATTATAAAAAGTTGATATTTTGAAAACATATATCGTGACGAATCTAACAAGACCCCACATGACTATATTTTTTATTACATATAAATCACAAAATACGATCAAAGAGAAGTGAGTGAATAGTGCTAAAATCAAAACGTGTCAACTAAAAAAAAAAAAGAGTAGTATAAAACTTCAAATGAGGTAAGAGTTGAAGAAAAGAAGTTTAGATCCATTATATGCATGTGTCAAATTTGCTATTGATAATTTAATTGTAATAACTGCTTAATTACATCATCCCCTTCTAGTAAATTGATTTATTCAATTAATTTTTCTTTTTGATTTTTAAAAGGAGAATGTGTATAAATGATTATTGGCCACGGTGGAAGGGATGGTTTAAAGTTGAGAGTTTGACTGAAAATAGGATAGTACACTCGGGTGCATCATGCACATGGTGCACCCGGTTAAACAAAAAATAAAAAAGGCGGAAAGAACATACAAATTCTTGAAAAAGAACATATTTGTAGTTGACAAATAACATACATGTGTTTGATAAAGAACATACTTGTAATATGTTCTTTGAGTGTGATCAATGTGTTCTTTGGGTATCAACTCTATGTTCTTTACATTATAATTTATGTTATTTAGCATGTGTTGATTAAACATGAGTTTTGGGTTTAAATAATACAAAGTATGTTCTTTGAATTAGGCTCGTATGTTCGTTGAGGTAGTGACGCACAAATTCTATTTTTATTATCATATGTCATATTTAAATTATTTGTATTATCGTATGTTCTTAGAGTTTGGTCAGTGTGTTCTTTGAGTATGAACTATATGTTCTTTACATTATAAATATGTTTTTTGAGTAATTTTTCAAAAAATTTTAATAAAGTTTTTATCACGTTATTTTTGTGATGTCTTTATGTTTTTTGATAATGCATGTTCTTTCTCAAATACAGGATGTTCTTTCCGCCGTTTAATTTGTTTAACTGGGTGCACCAGGGTGCACACATCAGGCATTAGAGTTTGACACTGTTGACACCGAAATTTTGTTAATTTTTAAGTGTCGTAAATAATAAGAGATAATATAAAAAAAATATATAAGATATTTATCTTCAATATCTCATAGATTATTTTATAATTATCATGTATGACTCTCTATATAAAGATCGTCGTTTTTAGGGTTTTAAGAGGCTTGAATGGAATTAGTCATAAAGACCCCATCTCCTCCTTACAAGGCTCATATGGAATAAGTCACAAAGACCCCATCACCTCCCTACTACCAAACATTCGCAGGTTTGAAATTTGTATGGTTTAATGTTGCACACACTCTTATTTTTAACCATCTTTTGTGATTTAATATATGTTTAAAGAAAAAACATAGTCATTCCATAGAGGAAATAAGTATTCTTCTTCTTGATTAATGACTTAAAGGCAATTATAAGTTTCCTTGAATTTTAATTAATACATTTGTTTGGTGCACAATTTCAATACATAAATTGGTATGTATTTGTATACTAAAGCTCTGTTCACTTCACCTTAGTTTTGCTGAATTGAAATTAATTTTACTGATTCTCTATTATATTTCTTCTTTATACTTATTGAATTTGACTGAACTGAAATTATTTTTACTAAACCAAACTTATTTTTACCAAACTGAAATTATTTTTAATGAACTAAAATTAATTTTACTGAATATTATTTTATTAAGGTGAACTGAACATGGCCTAATAAAGATTTAGTTGTTGTGAGGGCTCCAAAACAAAAACCCATCCTTGCAATCATACACCATCTAGAATTTATTGTAAAGTTGTGTATTATTATTATTATTATTATTATTATTATTATTATTATTATTATTATTATTGAAGATTTTACGGTGTTACCATTAAATTAATGTGGTTATAGTTTCTTGCTATTACTAGAAAAATAATAGATGAAGCTTCCAATAACGTTCTTGAAGTGAACGCATGACTAGATACATATTTTTCTTTGGACCAACCCCTTTGAAATTTTACATTTTTGCGTTGTTGATTTTTTCAAAATCGAACCAATTCAAGTTCGTTGGTACTATAGAAGGGCCTTACCAGGAAAATATAGACCGCTTTCTAGAAAGTAAAAAGTTACAATTACATCATTATGCAAACAAAAAGTAAAAAAAAATAGGAAAAGGAAAAGGAAAAAGGGAAATTCTAAGAAATAGGGAGCAAAAACACGTTAGAAACTTAGAATTTATATTGTTGTTTGACAAAGGAGCAACCAAAACATCTACGAGTATTATGCCCCCTAGGTACAGTTATTAATAAGTGCAAACCAATAAATTTTGCTTGTCTAAGAGTATAGCCAATGGTTAACCACAATTATTGTGGTTATTATTTGTTTTTATTTATTTTTCTCTTTTCCATCTCATTTGTAACCATTTTTATAACTATTTCATAACCCCTGTATTTCAATGGTTGCCCAATGGTTATAAATTATAAATGCATCTTGAACATTAATCATAATAATGTGTGTCAATTCTTTACATTGCCACGTCATCAACTATTTAATGAGTGGAGAATCTTGCAAAAGTGGGAAGAATATTTTATTCAATAACCATGTTACAATAACCGGTTATAAAACTAGATTATTATTTTCTCACTCCTCTTTTTTCTCTCTCTATAATTGTTTATAATATTTTTACACTCTCTCTCCTAATAACCTTCCTAAATGGTTAACGGCTGGGTATACTCTATAGATTTCTAAAACAAAAACGATGAGTTCAAAAACAAAAACGATTAGGTAAAAGCTTACGAATGTCCCTGAAGCTTTAGATAGAAGATGTAAAACTGAAAATATTAAACTAAATTAAATATATATTACACTGATTTATATGTATGATTTTGAGATGTATTATAAACTAAATACTATTTTAGATAATTTTTCTTTGAAAAAAAAAATAAATAAATCCAAAAACAACTACTCTTGTTAATATATTAATTACTCTCTCTCAACCTGGTTAATTGATATGTTTGACTTTTTTCCACTATTCATATATTAAGTTTAACCTTCGTTTATTAGTAATGTATTAAAATCATGATATATATTGTTAAATATATGACCCCCCCCCCCTCTTTCCCATTTTTATTTAGCTCCATTTGACTTTTTACAGTCTCCAACACGCGTCTTAAAGCGTATGCTCCCTCCGTATTTTATTACTTGCTTCACTTTCCTTTTGCAGCCCATATTTTATTACTTGTTCCATTTCTTTTTTGAAAACCTTTCACAACATTTTCATGTTCTCTTTCCTCCCTACTATCATGGATGGTTTATATAATCTTCCACCAACCCCACTTCCTTCATAATTTATTATTTTCTACTATTTCTCTCAAAACTCCACGTATGGAGAAATGGAGCAAGTAATAAAATGCGGAGGGAGTATATATGTCTATTTCTATGCGCGGAAAAATTATACGTAGTAAAAACATGATATTAATAAAATATACAATGAGATGAATCCGACAAGATTACAAATGACTATATTACTTCTTATAGCTTAGTGACAATTAATAGTCCAACTTTTAATTGTTTAACCCATAAATTAGCAATGGGGCAAAATATTAAGAGCGGAGGGAGTAGATATTAATATAAAGTTTCAATAAAATCAAATTTGTTTTAATTTATTTTGTTGATATTTGGTCATATATATCTAATGTAAAATTAGTGCATTGCCATACTTGCCAAATTTGATTGTGTAAATTAATTAGGACAAAGGGAGTAGTTATCTAATGCCCGAGATGCTCGTTAGCAGGATTATTATAATTATTATTATATGTGACAAACAAAAATTGCTTATACTAAGCGTTGAATTTTAGACCAACAAGTTTTATGTCAACTTTAATGGTAAGCTAATTAGCAAATTTGCTTGTTATGTCACATATGATTTCAAGCTAATCTCTTTTGTATTTAATTTCGGCCGATGGTTAGCTTATAGCTTGTGATTTAAATGAGTCTTAATTTCATAATTAAATTTTTATTACAGATAATTACTCTTGATCCTAGTCAGCGTGCCACGTCATTCAGTTTGTTACAAACACACTTTGGTTGTTAGAAAGTTGTTATGACAATAACTCCTTATATATAGCTATTTGTGTAATAGTTGGATCAATTGATGAGAAACATAATTAAATTCCTCCTCCTACTTTTCCTCTCTCTTTCTCTCTTTTTCTTCTTCCTCTTACATCTTCTATAAAGTTCGACTGCCATTAATGGATTCTCAAGCTCGTTTAAGCTGGACTAAATTCTGAGTTGCTGACTTACTTCATCATGGTATCAGAGCGGGTGAGCTCGTTAATTGATTTATTTCTTTTAGTTTTTTTTTGATGAATTTTTGTGTAGTTTGAATTGCTGGAGAAGTTTTATCATCAGTTAATTGAATTGTTGTGAATCGAAGTTTTGATTTGATTTCTTGAGTAGAATTGTTAAACTCTAGATTATTTGAAGTAGTTTTTGGAGTTATTACTCAGTTGATTCTTATTTTCTTATTTCGATTTGAAATCTGTGATTGCTATAACTTTCTTGACATCAAATATGCCCGAAACAAACAATCTCACACTAACCAATGATCCTTCAAGCATCTATTTCATTCATCCTTATGAAAATCCAGCTAATTCTTGGTTACTGAAAAATTTAGTGGTGAAGGTTATAATGAATGGAAGAGAAGTATGATCATTGCTCTTTCAGCTAAGAACAAGTTGAGTTTCATAGATGGAACATTGTTGAGGCCTGTTTCTGGACCAGAAGTACAGGCTTGGGATCGTTGCAATGCAATGGTTACTATCTATATTTTGCACTCAGTTGATAGCAGTATAGCTCGAAGTGTTCCGTTTTTTACCTCAGCCAGAGAGATATAGGAGGATTTGGAAGACTGGTATTCTTAGAGCTCAGGACCACAGTTGTATACTCTTCAACAATCACTGAATGATTTGTCTCAAGGATTGAGCTTAGTTGCTGAATTTTTCACTAAGATCAAAGCAATTTGGGATGAAATAAATCGTGTGAATCTTGTTCCTGTATGTACATGTAGTGGTTGTACATGTAAATTGACTCTGAAGATTGTGATGCAACAACAAGAAGAAAGGTTGGTTCAGATGTTGATAAAGCTGGATGGTAAATATGCTGGAGTAAGGACTAATATACTTATGATGCAACCTCTCTCAAATGTATACAAGGCATACAAATTGTTAATACAAAAAGAGAAACACATGCTACTATGCTAGATGATGGCAGTAATATGGCTTTTGCAACAGAAGCTAAAAGATTCAATCAGAATTTTTCAACACCAAGACCTACAGGAAACTATAGGTTTCAGCAAGGACAAATAAGGCCAAGTTACTCTAACACTCTAGTATATTTTGTGAGCACTGTAAAATGTCAAGCCATACAGTGGAAAAGTGTATCAAGATTCATGGATATCCTCCCGGTTTTGGACAGAACAAATACAAAGAAAGAAAAATCACAGCAATTGTCCATGGAGATGAAGAAAGTGGAGATGACAATAACATTGAAACTGCTCATATCTCAATGGGACAGTATAATCAGTTCTTGCAGCTTGTAAATCAAGAGGAGCAGCGCACAGCAGACAATACAAGTACTCAGAATGCTACACTCTCAAATGCTTCAGCTGATGTAGCAGGTACTTGCCTTGCTTCTTACAAGTTTCAATACAAGGTGGATGATAGATAGTGGTGCTACAGATCACATGTGTTCATCACTATATCTATTTGATACTTATCAAAAATACAGTAAGTATCCAAACACTATAATATTAGTTGATGGCAAACAAGTTGTAGTTGAAATTATTGGGAATGTAAAATTTCAGAATCGCATAGAACTGAAAAATGTACTCTATGTTCTTGGTTTCCAGTTCAACTTGATCTCAATACACAAGTTGTGCAAGGATCTTGGATGTGATATTAAGTTTACACATGACACTTGTGTGATCTTGGATCCAATTCAGAACTGTTCCCTGGTTCTTGGTAAGTTGGAATCTGGTCTTTATGCAGTAGAGGATGTCAATAAAAGTTTGCAAAAGAATAAAGTAAGCAAATCTGGTATGATTTTTGTTTCTAGTTCAGAAGAAGCTAAACTTTGGCATTTAAGACTTGGTCACATGCCTTTCAATAAGTTGCATCATGTGAAAGGTTTTTTTTTCATGTAATATAGAAAATGATAGCATTTTTCAAGTCTGTCCCAAGGCTAGAAAAACTAGACTTTTATTTTCCTAAGAGGAGTATAAAATCCACAGCATGCTTTGAACTGTTACATATTGATACTTGGGGCCCTTATAAGTTAGCAACTCGTGATGGTTTTAGTTTGTTCCTTACTACTGTTGATGATTACTCAAGAAACACATGGACTTTTTTTTTATGTAAAACAAGTCTGATGCTGTGAAAATCATGGAGAATTTTGTTGTCCTTGTTCAGAATCAGTTCAATACACATATTAAGTTTGTTAGATCAGATAACACCAAAGAGTTGTGTGAAGGAGATATGTTGTTGTTCTATGAGAAGCATGGTATTTTACATTAGAAAAGTTTCACAGACACACCTCAACAAAATGGTGTTGTTGAGAGGAAGCATAGACACTTGCTTAAAACAGCAAGAGCTCTATACTTTCAGTCTAAGGTACCTGCACATCTTTGGGGTGAATGTTTATTTGAAGCCACTCACCTTATAAATAGGATGCTATTGGGTGCTATTGGTCTTGTCAGTCCCTATGAGAAACTATTTGGTTCAAAACCTAACCTAGATCATCTTAAAGTGTTTGGAAGCTTGTCCTATGCTTCAACTATTAAGGCTAACAGGAATTTTTTTATCCTAGAGCTATCCCCTGCACCTTGATTGGTTATCCACTAGGACAAAAGGCATATAAACGTTTTGATCTAGAAAGCAGAAAATTCTTTATCTCCAGAGATGTTATCTTTCATGAGAAACATCTTCCTTTCCATTTTTCACCTTCTGTCACAAATCCTAATCCTATTTTCTTACTTGCATCCACACCTTTAACCTTTGACACTGACCTTTATGTTCCTGAACCCTTCATTTTAGATGATCATTCCCAAACTTCTTCTGCTTCTGATTCAGACTCCATTTCTCAATCTACTTTCTCTTCACAGTGTTCTTCTCAAACTTCACCTCATTGTTCAGATCCTCACAGCTCTACTTCTCAACCTTCCTCTCCTTCTCACCTTGTTCATAAGCATGTTCCATTCCCAGCCAGGAAATCAAATAGGCCTAGCAAACCTCCATGCTGGATGGTTGATTGTGTCAATACTATTGCTCATCATTGGTACAATATGGTCATGTTTGATGATGTTCCTGCCACACACAAAGCCTTGTTCACTCATCTTAATACTGTTTCTGAGCCTAAAAGTTATCTAGAAGCTTCCGAGAGTCAAGAATGGGTTGATGCAATGCAAAAGGAAATTTAAGCTCCCACTGCCAATGATGCTTGGGATTTAATGCTCCTCCCTAAAGGAAAAAAGGCAATTGGCTGCAAATGAGTTTACAAAGTGAAGCTTAAGGCAGATGGGACTATAGAGAGGTTTAAGGCAAGGCTTGTAGCTAAAGGTTTCACTCAAAGATATGGCATTAACTTTGAGGAAACCTTCTCACCTGTTATAAAGATGGCAATTGTGAGATGTCTCCTTTCTTTGGCTGCTAGTAATCATTGGGAATTACACCAGTTAAACATCAACAATGCTTTTATGCATGGCAGCTTGACAGAAGAAGTATACATGCAAGTCCCTAAAGGCATTCCTAATCCATATGGTCTTGTTTCTAAGCTCAAGAGGTCATTATATGGCCTGAAACAAGCATCTAGATAATGGTTTACTAGATTAAACTTAGAGTTACTAACAAGAAGTTTCACTCAGTCCAAGAATGACTATTCTCTTTTCTTAAAAAGATCAAACACTCATCTGATTGTTGCTGCTGTTTATGTGGATGATATCATCCTTACTGGTAATAATGTGGCTAAAATTCTGCATTTAAAGGGTCATTTGCATGAGGTTTTTATCAAAAAAGACTTGGGGGAGCTGAATTTCTTTGGCATTAAGGTCTGTCATGTTTCTCTGGGCATCATTTTAACTCAGAGAAAGTTTTCTAAGGAGTTGATTTAGGATTGCAATTTTGATGTCTCTAAAATTGCAAAAACTCAATTACCAGTCAACTTGAAGTTATATACAGACTCTGGTGATTTTTGTCGTGTTCCTATCCACTACAGGTGTTTGGTTGGCAAATTAAAATTTCTTACACATACCAAACACGATATTTTATTTGTTGTACAAACCTTGAGTCAATTTTTACAGCAGCCACGAATACCTCATCTTCAAGCTCTACAACATGTTCTAAGATACATTGCTAGCACTATTGGCCAAGGCATTTTGTTGCATGCCAGTGATCAACTCACTTTATAGGCATATTCTGACTCTGACTGGGCTTCCTATCCCAACACCAGAAGATCAGTTACAGGTTATGTCATGCTCCCTGGCAAGTCTCCTATTTCTTGGAAGTTTAAGAAGCAGGGAACCATTTCAAAGTCTTCCTCTGAAGCAGAGTACAAAGCTATGGCAACAACATCTGAGATCACTTGGTTAGTCAGGCTTCTGCAGGAGCTTGGGGTGGATAACCTATTGCCTGTTCAACTCAACTATGATAATCAAGCTGCAATTCACATAGGCAAGAATCCTGTTTTCCATGAAAAGACCAAACACATCGAGCTTGATTGCTATTTCACTAGGGAGAAAGTTTTTGTAGGCTTGATAGAATTGTCCTATGTTCCAAGTCATGAGCAACTGGTAGATTTATTTACTAAGAATTTGCTTGTTCTGTAGCATTCCGAGCTTAGTTCCAAGCTAGGAATTATTGATTCTCAATCACCCTCTAGCTTGAGGGGGGGTATTATAGATAATTACTCTTGATCCTAGTCAGCGTGCCACGTCATTCAGTTTGTTACAAACAAACATTTGGTTGTTAGAAAGTTGTTATGACAATAACTCCCTATATATAGCTATTTCTGTAATAGTTGGATCAATTAATGAGAATCATAAATTCCTTCTCCTACATTTCCTCTCTCTTTTCTCTTTTTCTTCTTCTTCTTCTAGAATGTTCGACTGCCATTAATGGATTCTCATGCTTGTTTAAGCTGGTGCAAATTCTAAGTTGCTGACTTCATCACTTTTTAAATTTAATTTTTTTAATATATCAACCCCTCTTTTTGACAAGTTTCTTCTCAAGCAAATTAGTTTTGCTTGATGACCAATCTAATTTCATTTTTAGCTCCAATGGTAAATCAATTAGTTAAGGAATTTTTTAAATTACAAGCAAGTCTCTAGCTACAACTGTTTGAGATGCCTTTAGCTATCCATCTAATATGCTTTATTACCGACAAAATATAAATGCCTTAGATAATGAATGCTATTTATTCACATAATGTGCTTTATTTGTTCCCATTATCACCCTTTATTTAATGGTTTAATATTTATCAAAAGAAAATGAGACAAAAAAAAAAATAAAAAAAAAATAATAAAAAAAAAAAGAAAAGGAAAATACTCTGTAAATAAAAGGAACATATATAATATATGGTTATTGTAAGTGTTTCATTACACATATAGTTCATTCCATTTAAATATATTGTAAACAGAGATTATTTTCATAGTATAATGTAAGTATAACACACATCAACTACGGATTAAGAGAGGCGGTTCATTTGTAACTGGTTATAATTAAGCAGATCGAACTGGAATTTGGATTATTTTGTGCTCAAATTTGGTAATCTTTGGCACGGTTATGTAAAGAACTCCATTTTTAAACGCGGCCGTGATCTCTTCCTTCCAAGAATTTGGAGGCAATTGAACCCTGCTGTCATAGGGGCTAAAGATCTTCTTCCCAAATGCATCAATTCCACCTTCTCCCTTGATCACTAGCAAGTTATCCACAACGTCCACTTCAATGTTTTCTGCATTAGTCCCCGGCATGTCAAACCACATCCTGATTTCGTGCTCGTCCTCTGTAGTGTTCCAGGGAGTTCGTACTGCAAACATGTTACAAGTATTACGTCAAAGCATATATATAACTTGTATATGATTGGATATAACATCTTGGTTTACTCTTCAAGAGAAAATGTTAATTATAAATTTAGTTGTTAATAGAGCCTATGACATTTATGAAAGTGCACTAAATTTATTTATGTTCGTGTTTGAATATGTGACTCGCTCTAATAATTAAGTATGTTACGTACGTACTATATATATTAGCATGTAACAAGGAAAAATATTAAGTATATTATGTACGTACTATATATATTAGCATGAGACAAGGAAAAATAGTTATATAAGTGGAATATTTACCGTAAGGGGAGGTTTCAAGGAGGGCAACTTTTTTGTGGAAAGGTGAACCTGTCACGGGATGGACAGGGTCAATTGGCTGACCACCTGCCTGTTGGGCTCGCACCATCATAGACGACCTTGAAGGTTTGTTTGATGGTGTAGCGGACACGACAGAAGATTGTGGGATCAACCCAATTGGTAATGGGTTAGTAAAGGGCTTACTCGACATGAGAGTTGAAGATGAGCACGCCACCAATGCCTTGCTAGCCATTCTCGTTGTAGCGAAAAAATTTGGTAATTGATGGAGATTCAAATTTTAGTGTAATTATTGTAAGAATGTTCTATGTTATTAACTCATTCACTGGAGCTTATATATAGAATTCTTTTGTTTACCTTTACTTGTCTTCTTTGTATGTTTCTCTATATTCTATAAGAAGCCTCATAGTTCATTCCTAGATTGATGCTCTTTATTGAAAACAAAATTATAAAATGAGGCCTTTTTCCTAACAAAATGATGCACATAAACAGTACAAAACCTGGTTGTAACATTATTTATATGTTTTAGTTAATACGGATAGAATTGTTGTACATATTTTGCTTCCGTCATTTTACTGGAATATGATGCCTCGTTACTTTGCTTTGGTTGGTGGTAAGACATCACTTGCAACATTAAAAAAGAAAGAAAGAAAAAAATATATACAAATCAAATCATATATTGTGTATTAGTCAAGATGTATATATAGATCAAGCAAAATAATTTTGTACATGCAACCCTTTTTGTTTTGTACGTATGTCACTTCCATGCAAAACAAAAATTAAAACAGAACGGAGCAAAACGATCTCCAACAATATAAATAAAAAAATAACCCAGATTATGTGAGTTATAATTAATTTGTTTCCATTGAAAAACAAATTTAGTTTTGGCTATTGTAAAAAGTAAAATTAAAATAAAAACTAATAGAGGATAGAAAATATAGGTATAAGTTTGGTGATATACTCCACTTGTAATCAATTAATTTTTAAAATTTAAGATCGCTTTTGTTTTAATGTATAGTATAAGTGATTTCCCTCAATATTGTTGAAATAAAAATAAATTCCCATTATGCACCAATTTAAAAACAAATTTCCAAAATACTGTTTAGGTAGGATTGGTATTTGATTTTGCTTAAAACCACTAATGTCATCAACGGTCTTATGTTAAAACCATACTACTAACAATATTAGCGGTTTTGTAATTTTTTTTTAAAAAAGGGGCAAAGAGACCGGTTATTACTGAAATCTAGTCTCTTTGAACTTAGCAATATTAATGTTGGCAGCTTGGCGCTCTCTTAGTTGCAAATTAAGTAAGGAGGAAAAAAGACCGCCTTTTACTATTAACACTCTCTTTTCCTCCGTACTTACCTTACACAACGTAAGGAGGAAAAGAGAATTGTTAATAGTAAAAGGCGGTCACTTTCCTGAAACCGCTATTGAAATTAGCGGTTTTAAGCTGGACCAAATCAAGAAAATTGACACCCAGCACCAATCCTAAGTGGATGGTATTTAGAAAATTTGTTTTTAAACACACACAAAGGGAATTTATTTTTGTTTTAACAATAATGTGGGAAATCACTCTGTATAAACCAAAGAAATTATCATGATACCAAAAGCATAATTGTTATTCCCTTTGTCCTATTTTGTATCCCATTTGACTTTTACGTCTTTGAGATGTGTCCTTAAATGTACTCACTTCGTCCCAAAATAATTGAGACGTAAGACTTTTTTTTACTATTCATTTATTAACTTTGACTATAATTTTTTATTAATAGAATAACAACATACTTTATCATAAAATATGTTGTTAGATAACTAAATTACCATAATAAAATTCCCAAGAATAATATATATTTTGGGTAACCTTCTTTAAACAAGACAAACTTTAAATCATACATGAACAAGCAAAACTTTGACACGTAAATTCTTTGAACAAGACACAAAACTACAATGACAGGTTACGTACAGATTATATGTATAAATAATTTATAATCCTAATTAGTCTAGTTATTAATACAAAATTAAAAATTATTTTAAAAAAAAATTAATTAAATCTTAATTAGAACCTAACTAATCTAATTAATTGACATCTATTCAAAAAAAGGAAAAAACAAAAAGGAAAAAAAGAAAAACCAGCTAACCCCTCGCCCCAGCCAGCCCCCAACCCCACGGTCCCCATTAGATCCACCCTAATCCCATTCGGTGAACCCACGCAACCCACCATAGTGGGTGAACCCACGCAACCCACGCTTGCTGGTGACGAACCTAGCCATGAACCCCCACTTAGTCCTCAATGCCGAAACCACCCAAACCCCACCCCTTCTTCTTTCGGCGAAGCCTACCTAGCCCCTACTCCTTTTCGTGTCAGGTTCAACGAGGGGGGTTTCAAGTTAGAGATTGAGGGATGTTACGGGTGGGATGTCAATGGATTCATTTGTGAGAGGGTTGTGGGCTGGAGATTTAGGGGGTTACGGGTGCGGTGTCTGTTGTTTCGTTCATTATTATTTTTTTTATATAAAAATAAGATCAAGCTAGTGTATTGACATATGTGCAAAATTTGACTGGGTTAAGGGTGTATATATCTCCATTTCCATACCAGTAAAAATTAAAAATAATCTTGATGTTAATAAAATATGCAATGAGACGAAATTCAACAATATCCCACATGATTATGTTATCTCATACAGATTAATGAGAATATATGGTCCAAATATTAACAATGTGGAAAAAATTTAGGGACAGATGGAGTACATGTTGGAGTTTTAGTAAAGAAGTCCAAATAAGGTGTGCTTCAAAAGAATAGAGTTTTGGAGTTTTAACAAAGAAGTCCAAATAAGTTATGTTTCAAAAGAAAAGAGTTTTGTTTCGGGGTTTTTTGATGTCCTTCGGGATAGAGTTACAATTCCAAGACTGACTTCTAGACAATTGTACCTGCAAAACAACGGAGACTCCAGTGGGTGGGAGCTCCGCCTCCGACGATCAAGTTAGAACGTGTATGAGGAGTAAAGTGCGAAAAGTAAAGGGTCTCTCTAGGATTCCAAGAGAGAATTTGCAATGTGTGATTGCTCAGTTCGAGGTGTCAAGTGTCTGACTTTCTCTGATGGAGAGTTAATGTGAATTAAATATTTCTGAATAGATGTTCCTCAGAGGGAAACATCTCCCTTTTATAGGGTGTTGAGAAACATGCCCAGTACTAAGTTTTAGTAAACCTAGAGCTAACTGGGCTTTGCCTGGGAATTTGGGCCGTAAAAGGCCAGCTTTCCTGGTTGGCTATCTGTCTGCCACGTGTCGTGGCCTGATTATTCCACCTTGGACCTCTCACGTAGTGACACGTGGTGGACTCTGATTGGTCCACGTGGATGACACTTGGCGGACTCTGATTGGTCCACGTGGCGGGGAAAAAATCCCCTAATCATTTGCGTGATGTGGCATGCCACGTGGCGCCTGCGACAGGTGTCATGCCATGATTGGGTAACGGTTTTTACTGTTTTTTTTTCACTGTTTCTTGGAATTCACCCCCCTATAAATAGGAGATGTCCAAATCATTTGTTTGGACGTTTTTCAAAAAATTTCTAGAGAGCTTTTTCTTTATTTGAGAGAGAACTTCCGACTGCACCAAACCGCCTGTTTTACAGACCACCTGTATTTACAGTCGCCGTATACTTTCAAGTTCTTCCATCTTCATCAACTAAAGGTAACCGTCTGTTTACTTTTATTTTTTCGTACTTTGTTTTTTCCTTTAGAAAATGGTTTCCCAAAAGCATACGGCACGGCCTAGGTTAGTGATCAGCCAGTCACCGGGGACGGCTGAATCTAGAACTACGAGTGCCGACTGCCCCTTGCTGGATCACCCTTTTCGAACTGCCCCAAGTCCGACTATCTATGTGTCTGTGCAGGACACCATGGCCAGAACTAAAAGAACAACAAGGGTGACAAATTCAGACGGCTCCTTCTTTCATGCGCCTGTCAGCGAGTTGTCTGACGTGCCGCCTGCCCCAAGTACACCTAGTGATTGCATTTTAGACGAATCAGGGGAAGAAGTTGACAACGTAATGCCAGCCTTTGTTGATCTGGCAAGACAAGCAGACCCTTCATCCGAGAGCTCAGATAGCGATTCTGATACAAGTACTTCAAACAGAGTTTTGGATGAATCTGAAGAGAGGCACTCTCGGCTAGAGACTGCGCGAGAGTCCTTTTCAGTAGACTTGGGACCAAGTTGGGCGGAGCCGTCTGCTTCTAACCGAGAACAATACACCGCCTACTATCATCATGTTCCAAAGGGCAGGCGGAAGATGATGGCTGAAAAAATGGAGAGCTTTAGAACTGAACATGTCATGGGACATGGGTACGTAATCTGCGCACCGGATGCCGAGGACACGGTAGTCTGGCCCGAGCAGTCCAGCTACGAGGACGCCTGTTTTGGCTGCTATGAGGCGGCAATTAAGGTTGGCCTGAGATTTCCTCTACATCCGGCTGTAGAGAAGATTTTGGATGGATACCAGCTGGGTGTCTGGCAACTAGCCCCTAACTCTTGGTTCAACATTTTGGGCTATGTTGCCGGCTGTGAAATGCATGAGGTAGAACCAAGCTTTGAGGCATTCGACCATATGAACTACCTCGGCCGGACCTCAAAAACAAGCGGGACCGGCTGGTATCAGCTGTCTAGCCACAACGGCTATCTGATGATTGTGGGGAAGGAGAATAAGTGGAAAGATTGGAGGAACACTTTCTACATCATCTCCAGTCCTGACACAGTTAGGAACAAAAAATTTAACAGGTGGAATAAGAACCCACCTTTCCTAACAGGCGGCTCTAAGATGCCGCCTGTTCCCCGTAAAGCCAAAGAAGAGATCCTTGACAGAGGACTCTTCAAAGTAGTCATACGATGGGACATATCTGGCCGCCTGTGGCCTAAGTGATGAGATGCCGAGAGGTAGCTGACCGCCTGTTTGAATGTCTTGTGAAACTTATTTTGTTTTGTATCAAACTAACTCTTAATTCATCTTTTGCAGACAAAGCCATGGAGAGACTCTCGGCCCCTAAAAAAGCCGCTGCTCAGTACCGCTCGGCCATCCTTGGCAAGCGGCCCGCTGAAGAGTCGCCTGTTGTACAGGCGTCAAAGGTGAACTTTGAACTTTGGACTAAACAGCTTCATTTAGTTTTTCTGCCGCCTGTTTTTTTACTTATTGTTATTATTTTGCAAGGCACTCCAGCAAAGCCTTCCTCCTCCACCCAGCCGGATCCTAAGGTTAGAAAACAGATGGCTGGTGACGTGACGACTCTCGGGAGAACCAAGAAGCACGTGGCCTCAAGGCCAGGAGGCCATGTACCCA